TTTGTCCATGTCATTATCATATTTTTAGTAAACCCACAAAAAAAAAAAAAAAAAAAAAGGTATAGTAACTCACGAGTCTCCGTGCCACATTTGCAGAAGCCCAACTGAGCCTTTCTTGACTTGAGCCTGCATCGTCACTTGTCATGGGCAAGGAGAAGGTCCATATCAACATCGTGGTGATCGGTCACGTGGACTCGGGCAAGTCCACCACCACGGGACACCTCATCTACAAGTGTGGCGGCATTGACAAACGGACCATCGAGAAGTTTGAGAAGGAGGCTGCGGAGGTAAGAACGTGCGAGATGATGCCCTACAAAAAACCTTTGAAGGGTTTTAACGTCCGATACGTAATTGTGGGTATACAAATACTTGGGTCTCTTGGAATGCCTTCTCACCCATTAAGTGTGATATGAATCAACTAAGTACGTCTTAAATGCCTTTTCCAACATTTTGTCTGTGAGCAAGTTGGTTGGAGAGCTGCAATTTTAACACAGATTAGCATTCGCTAACAGGTTTACCAGATTCTGAATAGCAGCACCTACTTGAATACATCAAACTGACCCTATCGGTCACATGAATAGCAAGGAAAGAGTTTCCTTGATGTCTTCTAGATGGGGAAAGGGTCGTTCAAGTATGCCTGGGTGCTGGACAAGTTGAAGGCCGAAAGAGAGCGTGGCATCACCATTGACATCTCGCTGTGGAAGTTCGAGACAACCAAGTACTACGTGACCATCATCGACGCTCCAGGCCACAGGGATTTCATCAAGAACATGATCACTGGAACCTCGCAGGTAGGCAACGTATGGACCGAGTCACCGAGTTGACCGGCGTTGCGTCGATATTCCAAACCGTCTCTCGTCTTTTAGGCCGACTGCGCTGTACTGATCGTAGCTGCCGGCGTGGGGGAATTTGAGGCTGGCATCTCCAAGAATGGGCAGACCCGCGAACATGCCCTGCTAGCCTACACGCTGGGCGTGAAGCAGCTCATCGTGGGAATCAACAAGATGGACTCCACCGAGCCCAACTACAGCCAGAAGCGCTACGAGGAAATTGTCAAGGAAGTCAGTACCTACATCAAGAAGATAGGCTACAATCCGGACACCGTGCCTTTCGTGCCCATCTCTGGCTGGAATGGTGACAACATGCTTGACGGCAGCCCCAATGTATGTTAAAAACATTCGCTCTGTGTCCTGCAGCGTTAACGTACCGTACGTCCGTTGATGTTCACGGAGTTTTCGGTGTTGTAGATGCAATGGTTTAAAGGGTGGAAGATCAACAGGAAGGATGGCAATGCGTCGGGGACCACGTTGCTTGAAGCCCTGGATGCCATTCAGCCACCCACGCGGCCAACAGACAAACCTCTCCGTCTGCCCCTTCAAGATGTTTACAAGATTGGAGGCATGTCAAGAACCGTTTAATAACTCAACAGACACCTGCTTTAAAATTCCTCGACTTCCAATATGTTGTGTCCGAACGGTGTAGACCAGTGCTTCCCAAACATAATAATGTGCCGTAGGAGATCAGAAGTTGTCCATCCATTCATCCACTTTATTCCGCATACCCGGGGTCAGATCAGGTCAGCAGCTAAAACAGGCAAGAGGTCTCTTTCCCCAGTCACTTCGTCCAGTTCTTCCAAGGAGATCCAGAGGCATTCCCAGGCCAGCGGAGAAACAGTCTCTCCAACATGGAGTGGATTTTCCCTGGAGCATCCTCCCGGTGGGATGCATCTGAAACACACCACCAGGGAGAATCCAGGAGGCATCCTAAAGAGATGCCCGAGCCACCTCATCTAGCCCCTCTCAATGCGGAGGAGCAGCGACCTTGTTGCGCTTTTCAACTCACAAGGCATTCAAAGCGCTTCACAGCGACTCCTCATTCACAGACTGCGCAGGGCCACTTCGACATGGTCACAAGGGGATCAAACCCACAGCCTGTGGATTGGGAGACCTAAAAGTGCACCTCGATGAGCACTTTCGCCATCAGTTGCAGACATAATGCATATTTGACGCAGTTTTCTCTCCGCTTAGGTATTGGCACCGTTCCTGTCGGCCGTGTTGAAACGGGCATCCTAAAGCCCGGCATGGTGGTTACATTTGCCCCAGTCAACATAACCACCGAGGTGAAGTCGGTGGAGATGCACCACGAGGCGCTCTCTGAGGCCTTGCCCGGTGACAACGTTGGCTTCAATGTCAAAAACGTGTCCGTGAAAGACATCCGGCGTGGCAATGTGGCTGGTGACAGCAAAACTGATCCGCCGCAGGAGGCTGCCAGCTTCACTGCCCAGGTAGCTCTTAATAGTATTGTAATTTCCAGATGACCCTTTTTATATTTCAGAAAGCAAACATTGATTTCTTTTTAACTAAAGCTATAATAAAATGGTAAACATAACTTGGTTCTGGAACGGATTAAATCTATCTCCATTACTTTATGGGATAATTTCAATGAGTGAACATTTTGGGTCCCAAAAATTCTGTTTGACCACATGCTTTGCTGTCGATCGTGTCTGCAGGTCATCATCCTTAACCACCCAGGCCAGATCAGTGCCGGGTATGCCCCAGTGCTGGACTGTCACACGGCTCACATCGCTTGCAAATTCGCTGAGCTCAAGGAAAAGATTGACCGCCGCTCCGGCAAGAAGCTGGAGGACAATCCCAAATCCCTCAAATCCGGAGACGCGGCCATCGTTGACATGACTCCGGGCAAGCCTATGTGTGTTGAGAGCTTCTCTGAGTATCCCCCATTGGGTAAGTCTCAGGCGAACGGCTAAAATCGCTATTCACAAAACGTGGGATTGAAAATCTACAGAAAAATCTGACGTCTCGAGTTTCAAGATGACAGTCTTCCAAGAACAGTAACATTTCTTCAAATTGCCTTGGCCACAATTACAAGACTTGTGATTCCATGGGAACTAAAAAAAAAAAAAAAAAAAGTTCTGTTGTCTCCTGATTAATACACTTTTCTTAATATTTCAACCTCATCAAATGACCCCTCTTTACTAACCTGATTTGCAGGTCGCTTCGCAGTGCGCGACATGCGCCAGACGGTGGCCGTGGGCGTCATCAAGGGTGTGGAGAAGAAAGCCTCCACCACCGGCAAAGTCACCAAGTCTGCCCAGAAGGCTCAGAGGAACAAATGAATGTTGTGCTACGCTGCCGACCCCAGGGTCTCCCAGGGCAGGAAATCAATCATCCAGCTCCATCCCACGATTGGCTGCTCTAACTTAATAACCAACGACTGGTTAATCATCACAATGCATCGAAAAACCATCCGAAGGAAAGAAAATCACATAGATCTGATGACTCCTATCGTAGTTGGATTACCATGATACACAAGATAATAACGCAAACGTTTTAAGTGTGCATTGTTCATTTCATTCATGGCAATGCCATTTCTGTGATAGCGTTCAATTAGGGGTATTCCGATCTATCGCCTATGTATAGCTTTCGAGTACAGGTACTGTTTACATGGTGAATGTTGTCCTTTCTTCGTTGTCTTGTTTTACATCATTGCACTGCGCTACGTATGAGCCCAAGACACGCAGTTTAAAACTACCGTTTGGTCTTCTGAGTAGTAAGTCGGTAGAACGTAACGTTTCGTTGTGGTTCAGCTTTAAGTGGCATTTAAAACAAATGGCATTGTGTGTCCTTTCCAAAAGGGGGCTCCAAAGTAAGCCTCCTGAATTCTTGAAGCACTTTCATTGGCACTTTGCACATGCACTGGAGATATATTTCAAAACTGACTAAGCTATTGCACCTTTACTATAAGATGGCACAAGACGCTTTGCGACATTAAACAAGATTCCACTCAGCATGTCCTCTGTTATCTTGTATGTTTTCTGTGCAACTCAGAAGGATTCCTTCAAAAAAAAAAAAAAAAAAAAAAAAAATAGGACCAAGACAAATCTAAAACTAGATTGGGGCCAAGCATGTCAGTTTTCCACACTAAAAAGCTTGGAGGGGTCTTTTAAAATAGAATGTTAAATTAGCATAATCAACCCAGGAACTCCATTTCAAGACCCAAATAAAACATCTTTATTAAACAAAATGTAGAATGTAAACTGGTTAAGTTACAGACAAAACAAAAGCTCAATGTAAACATCTGTTAAGTGGGATGTTTACAAGGAAAAAACGTAGAAATCAAGAGGCTCAATTCAAGAGGCAGTTTTGACAAGTAACCGGATTACAAACGAGCTTCGACTAACACCGCAGGGAACAAATATATTTCGTTGCTCTCAATGATAAAATTGAAAAAACTTGACCATCCAATGACAAATGAAAGCATCAAACTACCTTTTTTTTTTAAAACCTAAAATAATCAGTCTTTTTGCTTATATGTGAATCAAATGTGGCCCTTATTCACAATGGGGTGCCCACCCCTGGTGTTATATACTCTAAGTCTTTTTCCTGGATATGAACTTCTCCTGTGCTCGAAGAACTGACTCACTTGGAAAAGGAACGCTGATTAGAATCCCCAGTATTGGCCTCGATCTCTGCCCTCACGTCGTTCACCGCGTCGTCTGTCTCGACCGCCTTGGCCCCTGGGACCGGGAAACATCTCCTTCTCCCTCTTGTGCTTCTCGTATCTTTCCGCCATTTGCACCAACTCCACAGGAACGTCCTGCAAGGCCCATTTACATTGAGACCTTTTTCGTGAGATGTGACTGTCGCGTCGCTGTGAGCGAACCTGCCCCGATCGCTCCAGGATGGGAATTAACTCCGGTGCCTTCCTCCAGTCTTCCCTTGTTACCAGGGTAACAGCGGCTCCGGAGCGTCTGGAACATATAAATGTTGCTTAAATAAGTTTTAAAAGGCTTTTTTTTTGTAGACCAAAGTGCTTTTCCTGGCTTCACCCTGCTCGTCCAGTCCGGCCCACGCGGTGGACATATTCCTCGATGTTTCGAGGGAAGTCGTAGTTTACAACGTGCGTGATGTCATGGACGTCCAAGCCGCGAGATGCCAAGTCGGTGGCCACCAGGATACGAACGTGACCTAAAGGGTTGTCAAAATACAAGACTTAAACACCAAATATATTGGCAGTCATTTTTAACGTTCCGCCTCACATAGTGCTGGTTCAATGATGAGGTTGGCTTTTGTTAAATTGACAACTAGTGGGCGGGATGTCTCCATCCCACCCACAACTATACATCGCTCCGGACTATCAGTCGTACCAGCCAAAAAGGGCATCATGAAAAGAACATATAAATTGCTCCGGAGTAACAGCCGAATTTTTGTGGGGAAATTTATTTTACAAAAACTTAGACCACGAACTGGAGAGCTCGGACACGCACCCAAAATTCCCATTCCTCAATCATGGCTACGTTCGGAAATAAGCTCCGAGCGAGCACTGCTTCACTCCGATCGTTCGGAAACTCAAATGTCCAAACGTGCATTTTTCATCATGGGCCGTAAAAGATTGCAAAGATGTTCAGAGACCGTTTTTTTTTAAACTCATCTCAAACAGTTCTTCTTGTCGCCAAGAAGTTGTGAAGAGGTCCACGATCTACTAAAGCAACCGCACTGCTTACCTGTTGGCTTTGATATGGTAGCACTTACTGTAGCTGAAAATTCATCCATCCATTATCTGAACCGGGGTGGCAAGACACGTATTTGTCAGATGAATCAGTTTGCACAATAAATACCAGACGGGGATAAGTGGTACGCAAAATGTATGTTCCATTTAAGGCAAGGCATTTCCTCTTCTGTGGTTCACCTTCTTTAAAGTCCTTGAGTGCCTCCTCCCGATCATACTGCTCCCGGTCGCCATGGAGACTTTGCACGGCCAGACCGTGAAGGGACATGTCACTGGACAGGTCATCGCAACTGCAGAGAGATGGCATGATGTTTAATCTACCAGTGTGCACCATTTTAGCTCAGCATTAACATGGACACATTATCAAGTGTCTTGAGACTTGCCATGAAGTTTTCTTACAGACTGTATATGCAAAACAGTCGCATGAGAAACGCCCAGTTTTAAACCCTAACTCTGACTTGGCACCCTACATTAAAAACCATAACTCTGGTTCGAAACCCTGGCCCCGATTTGAAATTCTTAACCTTGGCTCAAGAGCCTATATTGCAACCTCTACGCTGCAAACTTACATGATCTTTTTGCTGACAAAAATGAGGACTTTATCCTCAGGCAGCAAGTTGGCGATGAAGCCAAACAGGTAAGACTTCTTGTCTTCTTCATGGACGACCAGCACAGTCTGCTGCACCGTATCGACAGCCTGCCACACACGTGACCAGTTCATTGATATTCTAATGATATGGTTATAACAGGGTAGATTTTCTTTGTTCACTTTGGCTCGATATCTTCTAATCTTTGAAATGCTAAAGTGTAGTGAGCGTGTTTGACAGGTCATCATCACTCACTGCCAAGTCCAAGGTGCCCACATAGACCATCATGGGATTCTTGAGGTATGATTTAGCCAGACGTCTCACGCCGGTAGGCCAGGTTGCACTGAAACAGGTCACATGGTGCACGCATTATCAAATATTCAACATATTTGGGTGATTTGAATCGGCAAAGTAGCACCATCTGGTGGTCAGTCCCTGAAATGTATTTAATGAAAAAAAAAAAAAAAGCTTTACAAGAATTTTTTTTACCATTCCCAATCAGGATAAAATTCATAGGTTGTATTAGAGCAATTTTTCGAGGTTGAGCTGTTTTCTCAATTTTTTAATACCTTGTCATGACCGTTTGTCTGTCAGGCCGGATATCCAGCAGAATCTTCATAATCTGAGGCTCAAAGCCCATGTCAAGCATTCGGTCTGCTTCATCCAGGACCTTTTTTAAGTGATTAGACACGTCAATATACAACAATCATAAAGGAAAGGACCTAAAATGGTGGCTACAACCCAAAACAAAAAGATGCAGTTGGTGAACCAAGTAAGTGATGGAGTGCAGACTGATGAGCTCGTTCATTTGTAGATCGTTTAGTCGTCCTGGAGTAGCAATGACAATGTCCACGCCGCTTTTCACCAGGTTGATCTGACCCCTTCTGTCACCGCCGCCGTAGATACAGATGCTGAGAGATGACAGAGAGAACACAACTCAGCCTAATGTTTTTGGTGACTTAGTGCCTCCCAATATAACCGCGCGTTGTCTTCTAAGTGATTTTGAATGAATATGTAATGTATGTCAAATGTTTTTTTTTTATTGTAAATAACCTTTTTATTTTGTAATTTAAAAAAAAAAAAACACAATCGCACCCGTTAGGGAATGCAACGTCAATGTGATTGCTATAGTACTTATTTATATGGCAAAGGGGTTCACTGTATGTGTATGGCAAGATGCTAACCTTTTGTAGCCTTTGTAGCGATACTTGCTGCACTCCTCTTCAATCTGCAAGGCCAGCTCTCTGGTCGGAGTCAGCACTAACATGCCGGGGCCTTCGCGCTCTGATCGAGGTCTACAAACAAATAAGGTGTCAAAACCAAACCGTTGGGTTGTGCTGAGGCTTAAGAGCCCATATGCGAGGTGCGCATGCTAAAAGATGTAGAAATGATGTAACAGAAGCGCCATGTCATAAGAAGTGATGGATTTATTGCGAAATAAATTCATGGGTTAACTCCCAGGAATAGGTAGTTCCCCCAATTTGAATTTGGAATCGATTTAAGTGTAATTTCCAATTTTGAACGATAGGGGGCGTCAAGCCAAGTCTAAGTGGTTATCCTCACATGGGCTGTCCGTCCATGTGGATGAATCCAGGCAGCAGATAAACCAACGTTTTGCCCGTTCCTGTCTGAGCAATGGCGATCAGGTCCTCCCCGCTAAGCAGCACAGGCCATGCCTGTGACTGGTGAAAACAAGAAACATACCAGAAAGGAAGGCAAGAGTAAAAGAGATGACATTCCGACAGCCTGTGCATGGTTTTTCAATATCAGTTTACATTGCATAATTGCGCAAGTCATGTTTCAATGTTTTTGGAAATCAAGAAAAAACATTTTTTATAAGATTATTTTTGACATTGTTAAAAAAAACAAAAAAAATTCAACCATATGGGTGAACAAGTAAGCTAAAGGAAAAAGACCCAATAAAAAATACCAACGTGTGTTCTGCCAAAGGAGTATTTTTTTAAGCAAAATAAAAATACTAAATGAGAATTTAAAAAGACCTTTCGAGTAAATATACATTTTTGATGCCCTCTGGGGATTGTCTGATATAATAATTACATGGTGTACAGAATGGGCGCTGTACCTGACAGTCAAGTGACTTCAAAGACTCGGTAGTTTTACTTTGAGTTTTATGCATAAGTGCAGAAGTCTACAGATGGAGACAAGTATACACCTGGATGGGGGTTGGTTTAACAAAGCCGACCCGATGAATGTTGTCCATGATTTCTGGGTAAAGCTCAAAGGCCTCCAGAAAACTGCGGCAGGGATTAGGGATGGGACGTTTTTCGCCGCCGTCCACCATGTCATCCACAAAGATGTTGTTGTTTTCTTTCCTGTCGGGAAAATGAGACAAAAGATATTCATCTAGTGCACATTTGCACACACACAAGAAAACTATAAAATTCACCTCCAATCACAGACTTCTTCAGCAGTGAGGAGGGACACGCTTTCAGCCTCGGTGTAGAAATTCTTCTCCAAGGGTGGTAGGTCTGCAAGATTATCACAGATGAAAAAAAAGAATGAATCCAGTCCCTCGTTTGCCTATTTATTAAAAATAAGAATTATAATAAGGCCAGTTAAAAATAATTATTAATCTTGTTCATCTTAAATTCTTTTTGAAATTTAGATTTACCTATATAAAGTCTTCATAAAAAATAATAATAAAACGTATATTGTCAGCTCAAACTAAAGTGCTCATTTTTTAAATCTATTAAAACAAATAAATGAAAACATTTCTGAATAGATTACAGTCAACTAATATCAAACGGGCTTCTTTTTATATAGTCTAAAACAATACATTAAAATCGAAATAAATAAAGCTGTTTTGAAACTGTAAACCACTTTCTAATTATATGTACAGTATTAAAAAATATTACTCCAGTTAAATGTAACTCCTTTATTAAGCACATTTATAAATCATCAGCTGTGTGTGCGAGTGGGTGTGTGTGAATACTGTGGCGATTGTGTACCGATTTCTCACCTTTCCATTTCATCTCTTCATATTTATGTATGTTTTCCCGAATGTTGCTCCAGTCTATGGACACATGAGTCGGGGCCACCTCAGATGTCTGTAACTGTGTGTCGGACCACACCGAGCCACCTCCTCCATTGCCTCCTCTTGCTCCCCTTCTTCCGTAGCCTCCTGGCACATTGATTTGAATGAACAGCCCATAAAGAACTTGAGTTTAAGACCAGTGAAGATTCCTGAACTCACTGCCGTAGATTCGAGGGTTCTCGTTGGCCAGCAGCTCTTCTATCATCTCTTTGGCCTTCTGCTTGATGGTAGGAGGTCCAAAGATGAGCACCTCCGCCTCCTTTTCCCCGTCGTTGATCTATGATACAAAGTAACAGCAGTTAAACCCAAGAACAGATTGCATCGAATGATGCTTTTAACTAGGGTTGGGCGATTGTATGAGTGTAATAGTAATTTAAATGCGATTATACTTCTGGTATAGTCAACAGTGCAGGTAAATATAACATGTTTATATTGACTTCTGTTACTCCTTAAAGTTATAAAACAATGTGCTTTATTTTAAATGGATATAAATTAGACGACTGTCACACAATAAACACCACAGACATGACCATTTAACTTGCCTTGATTCTTGCACCACTATTCTCCTCCAATTCACGTTTTTTAGCTCCTCCGCGGCCTTAAAACAGAAATGAAATTGTTAAGCTGGGCTGACACTTACCAAAAGTGGTCAAAGGGCGAGCCATATTTAACATTTTTTTTATTCATCACACTCAACAAATACGCAACCCCGAAACAATATGTGCGGAAGGCTTAACCAAGTAGCTAACATCGCTAACTTTACTGGTTGAAATGATAAAAAAAAAAAAAAAAAAAACTTACTCGCGCCGTTTTTTATCTATCTTTTGTTCATTTTAGGTAAGAGTTAAATCATACCAATTATCCTCCCAACCAAGCCATTTTCCACGGTGATAGTGACGGGTGAATTCGACCTATGAGACCCGAATTGGCGTCTGCCATCGGGTCCTCGTTCGTCGGTCCGGGAAAAAGAGCGGCCATCGTTTCCCCGACTTTTGCCTTCGCCTCTAACGCCGCTCCGATAATTATCGCCTACATTGTCGCAAAACGCTCCGATTTTGTTCCTGTTTCGCACACCGAAAGAAATATTTCCAGTGGGCGTCCATTTGGCCGACGTTGGTTGTGGCACAGACTCGTTTTCGTCCTCTTCCCAGTCCGACATTTTCAAGTTGTGCTCCAACCAAGGAGTTGTCAATCAAGACGACGCCTTCAATGACGTTTCGGAACTTTCCCACTTTCCCAAAGGTAACACAGCCAAAGATAGCTTTGGCCTTGACATTGACCTCTCCTTGCTAATCTCCTCTCTCGCATGCGTGAGAATCGAGGGTTTTTTTTTTTTGTTTGTTTGTTTTTTTTTGGGCCTCACGTGACAAAACGGCAGTTGCACTTCGTGCCAAGTTTAGGCTTTGGCCTTGACATTGAACTCTCCTTGCTAATCTCCTCTCGCGCATGCGTGAGAATAGAGGTTTTTTTTTTTGTTTGTTTTTTTTGTTTTTTTTTGGCCTCGTGTGACAAAACGGCAGTTGCACTTCGTGCCAAGTTTAACTGCTCAAGTGGAATTTAGAGGCGTGAACGTTGGTGAAAAAAAAGAAACACAATTGCAATCGATTCGCTCACGGTTGTAACGGTCCAAATCACAACTTTGTACCCTACTTCCCAATAGTTCTAAAGGAAAAGTTGGAAGCCAAGGAGCGTCCCTTACTCATTATGCACGCGCGACCTAGGGGATCTGCAAGTGGTCTATTATAGGATAAATATTATGGAAAATGTAATTCTTAACGTTTGTTTACAAATATTATTACAAATATATATCTGGCTATTTCTGAAAATAACGTGTCTCATTTACATATTAATAACCTAGGTTGCTTTGAAGCCCCCTCCTTTAAAATAAAAAAAAAACACTGTAAAAACATTCACTGAAAATTTTTATTAAAGAATAATAAAATCATTTTGGCTTTTTCTCATCCAGAGAATTAATGTGCACTTGTAATAAATTAATTTCAAAGTAAACGTCGTGTTAACATTGTCAAGCTTTTTAAGGCCCATCGTGTAATAGTAAACAATAAATTACCATTCAAGCAGTATAAAGAAAAATGCATGATTTAAAATACAATGAAAAAAAAAATCAATGGTGGGAGCTTTGCAAATAAAAAGAACTAGATTGACAAATGATTCCCGAATTAGTCGACTGATTTGCAATTAACATGACATTCGTTGCTAAACTACACCAACAAAAAAGTACCGTGAAGTGATTAACAGACTCTTTGACATGAATTATTTCTTTCTTCGTTATGACGTCTTCAATCAATATTCCCTAACATTACACATTCAAATAGTGTTGTGCGTCACATTTTCAGGTGCCACAGCCTCCACTGTGCTTTTGGTATTGCATCACACCAGCAACAACATATTGAAATACACTGGCCTGAAAAATACCACAGTCTTGTTCCGAGGCAAACAAGAAAACATAATAAGCAGATTAAAGATAATACATGACAAGTTACTGTAAATAGTTTTAAGACTACTGTGAAGTGTGAACCACTCCGAAAGCAATTTGAGACAATCCAGCAACACAAAAAAGTTGTTCACGGTTGAAATATGAGGACGATTTTGACAAGAGTAACAATATTTGCCACAAAGATGGTTAAAATTGGCCTCAGACTAACAGATTATAACACAAATGAGTGTTGATGCCTAAAAAGCGCCACCCGAAAAGTTACTTTTCCAGTATTGTTTTTTTCTTGAGCATTGTAAAATTATTCACAGAAAGATCTCGGTTATCTTTAGGTGTATTTTTCTTACGATTTAATTATTTCAAACATGTCACATTTTGACATGATTTACAGATTGGCATCGAGGACATGCGGCTTTAAGAACTCATTTAATTTTCTTATCATCATTAAAAAAAAAAACAAAATCGAGACAAGTTGCTACCGGGAGCATGTAGCTAGCTGGTAGCAATGTGTTAGCATTCATGTTATTGAGTTAATGACAGCATACTGCTACTTTACATATAATACAACATCACCGACAGCATTTCATCATTTGTGCCTCCACTATATCGCAAATTTTTAAATCATCTTTTTTTTCTCATAAATGTACAATTTACAGGTAAGTCCGAGTTTAGTTGCGCGCCTCCAAAGTAACACCATGTTGTGCCAAAACATGCCAGGGAGCACTGAGGTCTAGTGGAAAGATACCACGTGATTAAAAGTAAGAAGAAAGTGCAAAAGAGATCTCCAATTGAAGCTACATTCGCCTTTGCCCAAAAAAAGCTGTGAGCATTGTCATTTATATACTATTTGCATGTGTTGCTGCTCCACGTCTGCTAAGTATCATTTTTTTGAAAAAAAAAAGTGATTTATAAACAGGGGTTCACTGTACTAATCTTTACAGAAAGCAGCTTGTATCCAAAACTTATAAACAACAACAAAAAAAAGTACCACCATGTGACTGGACAGTCTGCTTTGAAGGATGTGTGGATTAGCAAATGGTCACTTCTTTTTATTACATACGTTTTGGACTATCAGCATCCAAGTACCTGGGCTGTCAAAAAAGTGTCATAGAATTCTATCAAAAAATTTGAAAAAGTTCTATCTACAATGAAATGACAAAATAAGGGAAATTATTATATTTAAAATGAAATTTTGAATACTTATGTCCAAATGTTGAGTGTCTCAGTACTTTTTGCACAAAATTTGCCATTAAAAAAACAAAATCAATATGAAATGTCATTACTTTTGGGAGGGATGTCACAGATATTCCCTTTAGCACCCCTGAATTGGGCAATATGTTCATTTTAGTGTTTTACGATCATCCCCAAAAAAGCAAATGAAAGCCCAATACCCAGTTTTGCAAGTGGTGTATTTAGATGTCATTTTTGCCTACTAAGTACACCGCATGAAACAAAGTTGATGAAAATTAACTAAATATAGCAAGAAATTTACATTCACAAGCAAGGACATCTCATTTCCTGTAGAAAGGCTTGAAAGTGGTCTCCCCAATAGTGGCATTCAGTGACTGTGCGTGTGTGTGTGTGTGTGTGTGTGTGTGTGTGTGTGTGTGTGTGTGTGTATAGTCAGGCCAGCTGGATACGTGGCGAATGACCAAGGAAGTCTGAAGCGAGCACATCTTGAGCCGGGCTTCTGTCAGAGTCTGAACGGTTGCTGGCAGGCGCCAGTTTGCGCTCGCAAATGAATAGTCCGCTCCCGCTCCAGCCTTCACCACCGTGTCGATTGAGCTCGTGCATGGAGAAGGACTTCCCGAGGGCGCCTCCCCAGTCAGACGCTGACGGGACGTCGCCCGGCGACAACATGAGCAAGGGGTCCACTTCCAGGCTCACGTGTCGCCTCCAGGTGGCGTCGGATTTGGAGCCGGGCTTCTCCCGTAGCTGCACGAAGCCGGTGTCCTCGCTGGGTCCCACCACGACGGATGGGCCCGGGCCGCCCCGATGTGCCACCACGCCATCCGGCACGGGGCAGCGCAGGTGGGAGGGGTGCATGACAGGAGGCAATTGGAGGGTGAAGCCCCCCGTGGAGGGAGGTGGAGGAGGCAGGTCGGGAAAGTGCGCCCGCCTGGTGCCATTGGGGGTGACCAGCGTGGGGTAGGGGCTGTCGGGCGGCAGCAGGGGCGACGGGGACAGCGAGGCGGTGGACGGCGGGTAGGAGGGAGGTGCGGAGTCCGGGGGACCCTCGTCACTGTCGGCCGGGGCCAGGATGAGCCGTAGTCCCCTTGGGTGGGCGTTGCCATCGCTTCCCTGCGGGGAAGGAGGATCCCGGTCCAGGATGGAGGCCGGGTAGTCGGAGTCGCGGTGCTGGCCCAGCTCGAAGAGCGGCAGGGAAGACAGGGTCAAAGCAGATGGACCCCGCTGCAGGACTTGGCGGTACAGGTCCAGAAGGGAGTCCAACTTGGACTCGATGGAGGAAACCTGGAAGCAAGAGGGAAGAACACCCAAACGCAGATTGAGAACCAACCAAACGTCAAACACATCAACCAATAAACCAACTAAACTGATAAATAACCAACAGTCTGACTCACTGATAAACCATCAAACTAACAACTAAAGCAACAACAACTCAAATATTTGACCGACAATTAACCAACAGTACAAATGACCACTTAGCCAACCAGCTAACAAACTGAGTCAATGAATAACTAAACAATTAACCAATAAATAGCCTGGCTGACTATCAAGCATCCAAACTAACAGTGGGACCATCAATCTACCTACTCAAACAACCAACTAACTAACCAACTAACCGTCCATCTGACCATCCATCCATGAGGGACAATCAATCTATTGCCACTAGCTAATTAGCTAGCAAACTAACGAACTTAGTAAATTAGCAAGTCTGACAGGCTAACCAACCGACAACGCAACCATCACACAAACCAACCAATTGCCCATTGTTCTTATCGATGTGCAATTTTGAAAAATGTTTTCCCTCCTCACCTGCCTCTCCACTTTACAGACACGGCCTAGCATGCTGACGCCATCGTGAGCATCTCCGTCCGGGTTCAGTTTGTCCCTCATCTTCTTATCCACGGCAATTTGGCCCTTTCCCAGAATTTGGTCCACTCTGACACACAAATATAAATACAGACACACACATACAAACATCGGTGTTAACACCATGGAAAACAGCGGCTCGAAGTCAAGGCAGCAGTGTATTTTCTTCAGGTTGAAGAGCAAAACCTGGATGCAAGAGTTAGTATAAAACAAGGGGAAGCGAAGAGCACACTTCATTGCGTTATTCCGGTTGCGGGAACATTCACCAAAAACATGGAGATGTGATGGTTATTTCTTCTTGAAACAACAGACGTTACTCATTTTCACCCATGAACGTGCATTGACACAAATCACTCACCAAAAGCACAAGTCCAGAGAAAAATAAGTGTGATGCATTAACGCAACTTGAAGAAATGACATCAAAGGACTGGGCACGTTGTAATTCTCCTGGTACAGTATGGTGTGGGTCAACTTGACCCATTAAGCTTTCAACTTTTACAAAAAAAAATTCCAAAAATGTCCACGTGCTGTTTTTTCTTGTTATTTACCCTCCAAACTGACCTGTTGTATCATTTACAAATCCAGAAAAAGTATTTTTTTCTCATGTTAGTAATTCTCCTGGTACAGTATGATGTGGGTCAACTTGACCCATTAAGTTTACAACTATACAAAAAAATATTCCAAAAATGTCCACGTACTGTTTTTTCTTGTTATTATTTACCCTCCAAACTGACCTGTTGTATCATTTACAAATCCAGAAAAAGTATTTTTTTCTCATGCACTTTTTTTATGTTGAGGGTTCAACTGAACGCTAGAAAAAAACAAAAAAATTAAAGGATTGTCCTTTTTTTTTTTACATTTGAAAACTCTAATGTGATGTTGAGTGTTAAACAAATTCATTTAAACGTTTATAGAAAATCTGAAACACCCCCCCAAATTAAAAAAAAAATTCCTTGAGCTTTTAATTTTCTTCCATTAGGATTACATCTTTTTATTCTCGATGTCCCCCCCGCCCCTGTTATGTTTGCTTTGTCAGGGACAGCAATAATACGCTTGGGTCAATTTGAGCCGTGGTATGTTTAATGATCCCAAAATGTTATCACTTCTGGACACACTCTTCAACACTTTCAAACACACCATTCCCCATCCATCTCTGCTATTTCACCAACGTGCAAACTGCATCCATCCGCCAAGGTGGTTAATCTACAAATTGGACTCGCATGACAGCAAAAACCAACTAACCCCCCCCAAAAATACAAACAAATCAACAGTTGAGACAGACGGGGAAACAAGCTAAAAGAACTAAAAAATACAAATGATGATGTTAAAAAAAAAAAAAAAAAAAAAAAAAAAGCACACCCAAAATTCCTGGTACAGTATGGTGTGGGTCAACTTGACCCATTAAGCTTTCAACTTTTACAAAAAAAAATTCCAAAAATGTCCACGTGCTGTTTTTTCTTGTTATTTACCCTCCAAACTGACCTGTTGTATCATTTACAAATCCAGAAAAAGTATTTTTTTCTCATGCACTTTTTTATGTTGCGGGTTAAACTGAACTGGAATAATATGTATTAATACGCTTTTTTTTTTTTTTTTTTTTTATAAAATGTCAAAGAACCGGCTGTCGTCCTGTTGTAGGTCAAACTGGCTACTTTTAAAGTTTGGAGAAAAGCTAGAAAAAAAAAATTAAAGGATTGTCTTTTTTTTTTACATTTGAAAACTCTAATGTGATGTTTATGTTGAGGGTTCAACTGAACGCTAGAAAAAAACAAAAAAATTAAAGGATTGTCCTTTTTTTTTTTACATTTGAAAACTCTAATGTGATGTTGAGTGTTAAATAGATTCATTGAAACGTTTATAGAAAATCTGAAACATCCCCCCAAATTTAAAAAAAATTTCCTTGAGTTTTTCATTTTCTTCCGTTCGCATTACATCTTTTTATTCTCGATGTCCCCCCCCGCCCCTGTTATGTTTGCTTTGTCAGGGACAGCAATAATACGCTTGGGTCAATTTGAGCCGTGGTATGTTTAATGATCCCAAAATGTTATCACTTCTGGACACACTCTTCAACACTTTCAAACACACCATTCCCCATCCATCTCTGCTATTTCACCAACGTGCAAACTGCATCCATCCGCCAAGGTGGTTAATCTACAAATTGGACTCGCATGACAGCAAAAACCAACTAACCCCCCCCAAAAATACAAACAAATCAACAGTTGAGACAGACGGGGAAACAAGCTAAAAGAACTAAAAAATACAAATGATGATGTTAAAAAAAAAAAAAAAAAAAAAAAATGAAAAGGCAACCCTGAAGCTGAGCTCTTCTTCCTGTTGGCATAATTGTAATGCAGGGCGGGAGACGACATGTTCCTGAGTCGACTACTCAAGTTGGCCTGTCTGGAGACAGCAAGAAACATCAGCGTCAAACACATGCGCACATACACCCGCCTTTAAATAACATGACTATGACGTGACAATTTCTAATTATGATAATGATATGCCATCTACAAAGCCGGACAACAGCAGATAACGCACAACTGGTCATTCCATCCACACAGAGAAAATAAACACTAATTTATGTTAACGCAGTTATCCTGCACTCGAATTTGTCGAAGAAACTCATTCGATTGCGCAGGCGTACCTAATGTTATGGCTTGTGAGTCGATAGCACAAAATAAAGGTACGAGGGGTATTTCCTGGCTTTGGAAGTGGAACCGAAAGCCCCTTTCACACTGCGTGTCAAAGTGTATTCTTCCTGTGTGTGTGTGTGTGTGAAAGGTATCGACACAGAAACGTGGCAAGACTGAATTTCTTATCTCTGTGAAGGAGTATTAGAAGCCTTGTTCATGCTAACTTTCATACCAGACTTTTTTCATATTGTTCTGTATGAAAGTTAGCAGCATAAAATGGGATGTGGTGGGGGTTACGTAACGGCTGTTGAATTATCAGAGGCCCATTTTACACTCTCTGTTACTCTGTCACTGTTTTGTGTGAAAGGTACCAACACGGAATACAGGAGCCATATTCAAATTACCTTACAAATCAGGTTTTTCTTTCACCTATATTTGTTGTGTCATTGTTCTGTGTGAAAGGTACCGTCACAGAATAGGAGGTTGAGGAAAATGAGGGATTTTAAGATCGTATCAGAAGCCCCTGTCACTCAAAGAAGACTTTTTCCTGTGTCGCTGTTCTTTGTGAAAGGTACTGCCCCGGCAACTTGTCGAATTGGTTGCGTTACGTTCATCGCCGGACACCGACTTCTCCTGCCTTCTCTGTCACATGAGACACTGACGTCAGTTAACTGACGTCAGTTATCTGTCGACGGGCATTGAAGCATGAAAGTGTGCGGTTGGCCAAAATCCCACCGTTTGCTCTCTGCGTGGAAGCGTGTGTTTTAAGAGGCTTAATACGCGCGGACATTCTAATTTGTAAACATTAGTGTTGGGTTAGTTGAGGGAGCATCGGGCGAGCTGGACGGGTCTAACCCCGGTGCAGATGACTTCCTCCGGGCCTGACTGTAATACAAATGCAGGGACGGTGAGGAAAAGGTCTTGGCGCGCCTGCTGAGGGGCCTGGGAGCAGGACCTACAACTGTATCTAGTCTGAGGGAGACAAAAGAGATGCCGCATGCAGTGGATATAAAAAAAGACAACACACCGGTGTTCAAATGCGTCATCACAAATGAGAATTTCAAAATGTCACTCGCAGCAAATGAAATATTTTTTTTTTAAAAAACTTCTGTGAACACATCTTGTTTGTATTTCCTCTGTCAATTTTTTTTTTCTCAAATGGGCATGGGTGTCATTCATGGCGTATGATTATCTTGGGTCCCATAATATTATATCACAAAAACATGGCCTATGAACAGGGGTGTGTAGACTTTTTATATCTGCTGCAGAGGGAAAAAGAGAACGGAGGCCATATGCAGAATAGCCGTGAGAAAGAGGCAAAATGTGAAAAAGAGGCAAAATGAAGGCGGCAAGGTGGGGATGGAGCAGGGTTGATTTCCCGACCTGGTCTGGAGACTTTTGATGCGACACAGCATGTCCAAGTGTCCCGCAGAGTACTGCTCGATCACGTCTTTCACGTCGTATGGACGCAGCGTCTCTTTGAACTTCTTCTTGGCCACGTGGAAACTCATGATCCTGACAAAAACATGACATAGACAAATGCAGTGAGGTAGGGAGACCGCGTCTGGGAAAGTAAAGAAAAGGTGTGAAAATCTCTCAGTGGTTAATTTTTATGGGGTGATGCGTTCCACTTACATGATAATTACAAATGTTAAAATGTTACGATAGCCTGTTGAATAAGGCAACCTTTTCAAACACAAAACCACAACCCATAAACGCTCGAGCGTGACACAGCGCGAGCAGCTGTAATGCCGACAAAAAAACAGCAGATGGTAGCAGTTTCATGAGGTTCGCTGTTCTTTCTTGAGCTGAACAAAGCAAACACTGTGTGAAAATCAACTTCGCTGGAGGAAACCAAAGAACCTTGGTACTCGAGTGTGTGACGCGTTTACCGAGCGAATAATATTGATGTGGGTAAGCCGATCTGCGCATTTGCTTCATTTGCCCCCGCCCCGTTCCTGGTGGGCTCCGCGGTTGCCTGCCTTTCCTGCTGAGAGGTGACAGATGAGCCTCTGTTATGGGAGTACCCACCGGGGAGAAGCTCCCTTGGAACCTCAACCCGACACCCTGGGAAAGTTCATGGTGGGAGCAGGTGGTGGTACCTCAACAATCAGACTTGCTCTCTAATTCGGCTTTGGAAACATTTTTTTTTCCGTTTCTTGATGAAATAGCCAATCAGGGGTTGAAACAAAATGGTTGAACCCATCAATTTGTTTTTTTAATAGCGCAAAAACTCATAAGGGTGGCAAGTAATCTGTAGCCTATCCCAGGAAGTAACTGAATGAATGAATGATTGAATAAATAAATAAGCACATAAAACAATCCGGTGTACGAGTGGTTAGCGCGTCGACCTCACAGTGCAGAGGTCGTGGGTTCGATCCCAGCTCCGGCCTTCCTGTATGGAGTTTGCATGTTCTCCCCGTGCCTGCGTGGGTTTTCTCCGGATACTCCGGTTTCCTCCCCCATTCCAAAAACATGCATGGCAGGCTGGTTGAACACTCTGAATCAGGTGTGCCCAAAGTACGGCCCGCGGGCCAAATGTGGCCCGCTTCCGCATTTTGCCCGGCCCCCTGAACAATACCACAGATGCATTTTTGTTGTTGTTTTTTTTTTTTTTTTTCCAAGTCTGGCTACATGATCGAGACTTGTACATGCATAGAAAGTAACATTCTACTCCACCCTTCTGCAGTCAGTGCCCTACCCAAAACCCCTCCCTCAAAAAATAATAAATAAATAAATAGATAAAATCTGCGATGGACCCCCGTCAAATAAAAAAATGGACTAATGATTAAGTCAGAGAAAAAAAATGACTGGTTATTCTATGCTTTCCGTGAAGTGGGTGTGGGGTCTTGAGGATCTCACCTGACAGCTCTGATGACCGCCTTGAGGGGAGCGGACAGGTCCTCGACCGTGATGTCGCAGTGGCAACCTCGCTCGTCCTGGGAATCCTCCGTCGTCATGCCAGCGTCCACTGCAAGGCAAAGAAACACGACCGTGTTCGTCAAAGTCTGAATCACAATGTTTTGGAAAAGCTGTTTGAGCATGTGATATCCCATTGCAGAGACACGTGCGGACATACAACACTTTCCGTCACACACTCAGCTCAAGTGTGCATGTGCATTTTTGTACCTGCAGCGTTGTGCGGTGGCAACCAACGTGGGTAACCTTCACATCAAAACTTATTGAGTGGATGCTCACCGTCTGAAGCTGCGTTGCGCGTCTGGCTCTTGAGCCTAAGTGAGGGTCTGAACCGCGTGCGGTCGTTGAAGCTCCAGCTCTTTTGCACCTTGGCGGGGCTTTGACCCATCAGCTCGCCACCGCCGCTTGCCGCCTCGTTGCCGGGGGAACAGCGCTGGCGGTCGTTAATAGACGCCTGGCGGCTTTTCACGCTCTGCCCCCGCGGGCTGGCCATGCGGACTCGCTCCTTGAAGCTCAACTTTTGACTGCGTGGGTGGAGGTTGAAGATGGAATGAGGGGATTTAAGGTTGAAGAGAAGAAAATGGACAACGTTATGAAGTGCTCCCGTGTGTCCTTCATACCAATCTTCATCCAGCTGACATGCCCAAAACCAAAGAGATAAAGCCATCTTGCCCGCCAGACCGACAACAAACTGCCATCACAAAATAATTTACTCACAACTAAGAAGACACTGAATTACAGAGTTGTTAAAATTCTGCAGGTCCTTTGTCGCACACAAAACAGTAAAATGCCACTTCGAACCACAATGACTTTCTGTATGCTTCAGGCATGGCTTCTTTAAAAATTTTTTGGTGGGTCTATTCATGCCGAACAAATTTAATTTTGGTAAATTAATCTAGTCTCAGGGTTTCAAGTTTCAGGCATGGCTTCTTTTAATTTTTTTTTTTGGTGGGTCTATTTATGCCGAACAAATTAAATTTTGGTAAATTAATCTAGTCTCAGGGTTTCAAGTTTGACTTTGAATTGTGCAGTGAAATGGCTAAAACATTCTGCAAAAATGGCCAACTTTTTGTCTCTTTTCAGCTACCTATGACAGAGATGCCTACCAAATTTCATGGTGCTAAATTAATCAGATTTTTTGGGGGTGGAGAGGGATTTCCTAAATATTCCAGTATCAGAAATTTGGCTTTGAGGGACACCTGAAAATGACCAAAATGATGGTGAAATGGTTGCTTTAAATCAAAATGGCAGACTTCCCGTGAGTTTTATCGCCTGACCTCTGCAGACTTTTTTTTTTTGTGTTTGTACTCATAATAGATAGGCCAACCAAATACAGTATCATAAATGAAACTAGGAGAGGATTAAAAAAAAAATAATCGACAGTAATAGAAGTTTCCTTTTGATGGACCTTCTGAAATTGCCAAAATGATCAGTTTCAAACCAAATCGGCTGAATTCCTGTGTCGCTTCCACCTTGGCTGGAAACATTTTTGTGGGTCTACTTATGATAGATGTGCCTTCCAAATTTCATGTTGTCAAAGAAAACTGGCTCGGTTTGACAAGCATTCCAGTCGGAGAGGTTTGGCTTGGAAGGAAATGGACCAAATTTCATGTTGTTCAAGAAAACTGGCTCGGACGGTTTGACAAGTATTCCAGTCGGAGAGGTTTGGCTTGGAAGGAAATGGTCAAAATTACAGTCCATTGTTTGCTTCCAAACAAAATGACACATTTCCTGTGTCTTTTTAGGCACGGCTTCGACTTTCTTTTTCATGGATTTACTCATGACAAACATGCCGACCAAATGTCATACTTAGCAAAATTGACTTCAAGGACTGAAATTTCCACTTTATCCAAGGAGCGCAACAGAGACAAACCTTACCCACAACCTAAGCAAAGGCAAGCCAGCCTTACTTTCCGTGAGACCTTCCAGTTGAGGTGTCACTCAAAACACTGAGGAACTACAGAAAACAGTTTCAAAAGACTTCGAAAATGCACATGATGCACATTAATCTTTCGCTGAGATGCAGACACGTACTAAATGCAATTGAAAAAAAAAAGGACCAGCATGCAATGGAGCAGGGCCAAGGGCAAAGAAGAAAAACGCGGATATTTTCCCATCTGATCTTTTTTTTTTGGAAGATAAATTTGATTTAATTTTTTTTTTTTTTTTTTTTACAGGAGGGGTTGGACAATATATAACTACTTTTTTTCACTTTTGTCACAACAACAACGATGGAGCAGACTACTGTACCATTATTTTGCTTGAATAAACCAAGTGTGGATGGAAAAACTGAACAATGAACCTCATGTTGTGGTAATTCAATTTATGTAAAGATATACAGTGTTTAAGAAATATATTTGACCGCCTGCCTCCATTGGACGCTTGTCTAATAT